TTCTTTAAAGCTCATCAGGAAATCTTACTTAAACGTTAGACAAGAACGTTCGTTACAGTTTATTTTCTAAGGGTTTCAATAAAAAAAAATCGAACGAATCACATAAGGTTTGTTACAAGTGAACACAAGAGAAAAAAATTTTTTTTTGCACATCGGTGACCAGACTCGGGCAGAGGCGAGGGTGCCCTCGGCAAGATTGAGCGAAGTCTGGAAGAGGCCGAAGACGCGCGGGCGGCATTTGGAAGGTAAAGGAAGCCCAGCCAGGGCTCAGCAGGGACGCTGGCGAGGAGTGTGGTCTGACGGGAGTGAACAAGGAGGCCTCGAGCTGAGACTGGTCGGTGTGGACGAGCGAGGCGAAAAAGTAAAACGTGACAGTGTATTATTTTATTATTTTTGGGACTTTTCTCATCGTCGTGGAGTGGAGGGTTCGCGTTTGCGAGGGGAGAACCGTTCTGGAACGACGAGAAAAAGGACGTACACGAGGTTCGAGCTTTTAAGCTATAAGATTGGTTTCTGGACAGTTTTTTGTTTTAATTCTGAAGAGGCTTGTTTTATTTATTTATTTTTGTTTTGTTTTACATCTTATTCTTAATACAGAGGACATTGATATTTTATTTTCTTGTTGTTTTTTTAATTAATTTTTTAATATATTTTTTATTTGTTATTTTGTTATTTCTGTTTTCCTAAAGGAAGAAAATAAAATAAAAACAGTGTGGCGCTCGATTATTCGCCTTTTGGAGACGAAGCGGCCACGGGAAAATATCTCCACTGAGCCCCAGGTACCCGGCGACCGGGTGAATTGCCACGGTCCGGTGAGGAACCGTAACAGGTTTTTCAAAACTCTTCATTAATGCAATCAAATTTACAGCAGGATTAGTATTTTTGTGGGTTACGGCGAATTTTATGGACTAAAGGTGTGAAAAGTATTCACTGGAAAGTGAAATATGTCTAGCACAATCGAGATTTTGAAGAATTGGACATTTGGAACATCATTTGGTACAATAGTCCAATTTTGAAGAATTGACGTCTTTTCACGGAACATCTGTGCACAGAAATACTGTAAAAAAATAAAAATGAAATAAAAGTCTAATTTATTAACAGTTATAAAAAAAAAACTTTTTAAAAATTTACTAAACTAACAAAATTAGGGGGGCAATTTGCTGTAGCCTAAACCCGCAACACAGGCGAGCTTTGCATGTTGGTATTCCCAAGCGCCTTGAATTTCCCGTACATTCATCATTACGAGCAAATAGATAAAATATTTTTTTTCTTCAAAATTTAATCGATTTATGCCAATTTAATTAAAATCGAATAATCGTAATCGTAGTTGGGATTTTTTCTGCTTCGGATTTTCAAAAATTTTCAAAATCCAGGCTCGACCGACGCATAACAGGTGGGCGAGATTAACGATTACACCTGTTGTAAAATTATGTCGAGCGAGGATCGTTTGGTGGAATCAGTTGGGGCCGATGTATTATCAAAAGATCCGCCAATTCCCACGCGGCAGTCCTCTCTCAACCACCGAACGCGATCCAATTCGTCTGATAATTGTCTGAAAACGAGCAGAGTTTTCCTAAAAGTGATAACAGTTAATCCGTTGAATTATTTCTTAACAATTATTTTAATGATTTCAACCTGATGAAGAAAGAAAAAAAAGTGGGAAACGTCAGAAAAAACATTAATGGAATATAAAGGAGTAAACAGGAATGAATTTGAATGAGCCCTTTTTGTATTGTTGTGTAAAAAAAAGTGTTTATTTTACAATCAGGACAAGAATTGTACTGTCTGACAAAGAAGAGCGTGACCTTTTTAAAAGCGAGGGACCACTTCAAGTCCACCCTTGCTTAAGAGGGTGTCATCCAGCCACGCTCTACATCACAAACTGTCAACACGGATCAATGTTTTAAACGCCTCGGTTGTCGGAAGGCGGCATTTGACAAATTTCTTCCGATTTACGTCAAAAACACGTTCGTCTGTAAATATCAGCTCGTGAAAACGTTGCGGAGAGGAATCGCGTATCGATCCAGCTTTCGGATCCGACTACGGCATAATTGCCTCTAAAAACTGTTACGGAAACAAAGCTATAGTGTTTTTTCTTTTAGATTTGTAATCTTAACAACATATCGGAATTGCAAAAGGTGAAACAATGGCAAAAACTCCCCTTTAATCAAGTTTATTACCAACTACACACGATGGAAATCTCAGCTTAGGTTTTGTTAAAGCCACTATCTCTGATAAATTGCAATATTATTCATAATTTACTAGGAAAAAAGTTTGTATTTTTTCAATTATCAATCAGTGCAATATGCTATATAATTAGGTGTTAAATGAGTCAAACAAACCAAAAATCGTTTTACCTCTTTTAAACGTAAGAACAACACGTCGAAAGTAGTAATAATGCAGACCCAGTGTTGATAAGTGCCAATTAAGAGATCAAAAGGTTTTTGTTTGAGTTAAGCAGGTGCTAAAAGCGTATTAAACGTTTTGCCACACGGGTTTCTAAAGGTTATTTGTAGGTCGAAAGGTTACGAGGTCAAAATGCCGAAAATTAACAGGCCCTCTCCGTTTCCTTTTCCCCTTATCAACATTGTTTTTCTGTAATAATTTTTGTAATTATTATTAATATAATCATCCCATATTTCGAACTTGAGTAGCTTTTTAAAGTTTTTTGATCTAGTATAGAAGGTATGTAAGTTTTATGAGTTTTAATAGAATATATTTTGTAATTTTTTTTAAGGCTGTTTTTGACAAAATTTGGCTTTTATTCATCGACCACCTCAAATTGTTGACGTTATGTAATCAAACAGCCAATAAGAAAATATTTTACTAGAGTTAAAAACCTATCTTTTTTAAAATTATTTAGATTATCACTAGTTTTACTTTTTTTAATAGCTGATACGAAAAGTTGATGTCACGAGGGGGTCTATAACTCCCCCAGCCAATTGTCGGAGCGGATGTCCCGCAAAGCATCATCCTTGCTCCCACTCTTTATGTAGTATACCCAACACAATCCGATTCAGTACTCTTTCCTTACAGCAAACCCAGAAGCGGCCTTCAGAATTCCAGGACTATCCTGTTGGAAAGAATCGTTCAAAATGGAGAAGCTTAACAAAATCAAATCCCAGCGAATTCACCCTTTGCACCTCTTTCCCAACGCACCGAATCTGTTCATCACCCAGGAATGAAGTCCGCTATTTGGGACTTTTCATCTCCAAAAGACTTTAACAACAGATCGATGTTGAATATTAGAGTTCAACCAAGCGTTCCGATTCCAAAGAATCCAGTCCGAAATCATTCGAACCAATATCACAATTCAAATCCCATTTATCCTCGAAACCTCAACAGGTAGATACAATCGCTTCCACAATCCAGATGATCACCTTTATTCACAATAAATTATTATTCAAAGGGAAAATTTAGACAATATTGTATTTGTCTGCAGGATAATAAGTGAAGCTTTCTTGAACAGAAGGATCTTCAGTGAGGTCACAACTAAAGGGGTTGGTCTAGACAATGGACAAGTCTATTTCATCATATACAACTGATATGCTTTTCATTGGCATTTTATTGGCATCAATCAACAATGTTGGAGTATATACATTAATCGTGCAACCTGTCTTCTATCCAGATTGTGTAAGGAACTGCAATTGTATCGGAACGTTTGTACATTTTTAGTCTTTTAGTTTATCGAATCAATCATCCTTAGATTTGGAATGTGGTCAACTTGAATATCACTGAATTTAGTGATAAGGTAAAAACATATTTATCTAATCTTATAATTTAAGTCGTGGAGCGATCAAGAATGGTAGTTTAGAAAAACACCTTTTTCATTTTTTTGCCGACGTTTCGACCTTTATTCGAGTCATCTTCAGGGCATAAAGCGTAGTGCTATTCTTGTGGTTAGGGAAAGTGTGTTACACAATACTTTCACACATAACCTATACGACACCACACTTTATGCCCTGAAGATGACTCGAATAGAGGTCGAAACGGAGCAGAAACAACCGGTCACAAAAAAAAAGTGGTGGTGTTTTTCTAAACAACCTCATTGTTGTCCATTCGTCACGACTTCAACAAATTACTAAACAACAGGTCACTAAGTTTATAATTTCTAATCTCATATTTAAACACTTCTTCAGTATAATTCTAGGGTGAAGTTTTGCAGGAAGGAACGACTGATATATCCAGGCTATGCAAAATTTTATTCTAACTAGTTTGTTAATGTGAGAGAAAAAAAGTTAAATTTAATCGAGAAAATGAAATGAAAAGATTGAAAATAAAATATTATTTATTGATAAATCATATTATAGATTTTAATATAAATGTTCATGTCTAGGAGTGATGATATTAGAGACAGAAATTGACCGACTGATATTGATCGATATTAAAAAATTGGAAATAAAAATAGTTTGATAAAATTGAAATGATATGGGTGACATTAATTCTTAAAAAAGCTTTTTATTGGGGGGGGGGATAAATTAGCATTTACGTAATCCTTGTCGTTAAAATCAAATTGGCAAAAATACTCAAAGGTTGATTTGATTCCCATGTAGGTTCTATTGATCGGAATAAAAATAGACTAAGGTCTTCTGAAAGCGCAGACGGGCAGACAATGGGAATTATTATTACTGTCCCTCCTCCCGACCCCGTTTTATGGTGAATATTGGAATTTTCGCGATTTCGGGATCTGAAAAACAAATAAATTAGGGATTTCTTCCACCAACTACCCTCCGCCCCAGTGTAGAATCTCTAAATGGGTTCTCTAAGTTCAGAACGGACCCTTATTTTTCCGCTCAAGTTGTAATTTCGATAATAAAGGATTTAGAAAAGTTTCCAAGTAAAAAGGGGGGATGGCGAGGCAGACTCTTAGAAGCCCGAGATTTATAACAGTGTAAAAACTTAGCCTGGGCCTTATCGAGGAACAAGGGTTGAAAAAGAACACCCAGATCCGTCAATGCACCTAACAACGAAGAAATCTGATTAAACTCGATACTACGTACCTTGAAACCTTTGTACCATTCTTTAATCGTTGCTTCATCGTATCGGGTATGCGATTTTAGAAAATCCATATCTTCTTTTGACAACTTGTCCTTGCTCCCAAAGCAACCCATTTCTGTAAAACAAAACACAATTATCAATTTGAATCCTGTAAACATAATAACAATTTTATGTAACTTTACGAAGATTTTATATGATTTTTCAGTTTTTTGCTAACGAATAGGCTATTGATTATTGAGGAAGAGTTCAATAAATGAAGTATGGTTATTGCACAATTTATTCCTGTCCGAAATTCAGTCCTTTGGGGGCTAAATGCCGATCCTGGTCAAAATGCGTGCAGATACAGAAAAAATTACAAATCAGTCGTACATTCTTTAAACAATGAACCGTCGTCAGTGTTAAAGTGGTATTGATAAAGAAAACCTCCAGACGTTTCAAAATGGTCTAAAATGGTAATAGAAATATTTAGTACAAATATGTGCATATATGGCATCAACACTGAATCTACGACCAGGACTGCACCCGGAATAAACGAGAGATCGAAATGAACGGTCTAGAAGGCTGAAAAGTCATTCAAGGCCACTTGGCACATCTTCAGGAAGGGAAAATGTAGATAAGTCTTGGGCAGAAAGGTTGATATGGATCAAAAGTTCGGATAAGAACTTTTGAAATCGTAAACGGATCGGTTCAGTGAAAAAGAAGAATATAGATTTCGTTGTCGTTAAGTGACGTGATTAGTAATTTTGCTGATTTGTCTGAGGTCATTTGTTTGGTGGAATTGGATGCGCTGGATATTGTACGACTTGGCTGACCTCAGTTTCACTGAAAATTTCCAATGTGGACGCAGTAATCTTTTGTATAGATTATTAGAGATCGTGAGGTGAGGTCTGGTGTGATGTAGGTTTTATCAAAAACATTTTCTTTATCTTGCCAACGTTTCGATCTTTATTGAGGTCATCTTCAACATCTGGGATTTATAAACATTGCTAAACATTAATTCACTACTTTCGTTGTCCGCTTGACCAATTAATACAAGACAATTAATTAAGGTTTTTTGTTGAGACGAAAAAAAGTTAATGGCACGAGAGGGATTCGAACCCACGACCTTCGGCTAGATACGCCGCTGCTCTACCAACTGAGCTATCGTGACCTCGATCCACTCGGACATCAACTCCCCATCTCAACCCCACCTTATCAGTTTTCCCCCCTTTTGCCATTTTTCAAATGTCGTGTAATCGGTTTGGATTCTAGACGACAATTGAAATGGCGACGGAGAGCTTTAGTGAAGTGCACTTCATTTTTAAATCATTAATTCACTACTTTCGTGGTCCGCTTGACCAAATACATGACAATTAATTAAGGTTTTTAGTTGAGGTGAAAAAAAGTTAATGGCACGAGAGGGATTCGAACTCACGACCTTCGGCTAGATACGCCGCTGCTCTTTTTTTCATCTCAACTAAAAACCTTAATTAATTGTCATGTATTTGGTCAAGCGGACCACGAAAGTAGTGAATTATTGCTAAACATTGTTTAGATTTTACAAATACATGTAGGACGTGAAAAAAATAATTTATAAAATGCCGGACAATTTAAACAATTGATTTTATAAATTACGTCAGATTTGTTTTTTGGAAAAAAGTGTGTGAATTGTTTTATAGTTTTTGAAAGCTATTTTAAAGTTATCCGAAGAGAGAAATGTGTTTAATTTATGTTATAGGCCGTGAATGTATAGCATGAAAATGTATGTTGGTTTGTCTGTAATGACAGATTTGATGTAGTATTATTAGCAATAATGGATGGCGTTAGTGTTGAGTTATTATTCAGTTGATTATGAGTTTAGAGTAGTGATTGCGATGGAGGATATGCTTGTTATCTTTATGTTCTTGTGGTGAAATGATTCATGGCTTAGGGTAATCGTTCTGTGAAGTAACCCTTTGGCCGTGTTTATTATTGTATGAAGAGGATGGTGTGATGAAAAGTTGAGGTAGCGATCTGTGTTTCTTGGTTTTTGAAACTAATCTGTGATTAATGTGCCGTCTGGTTGTTTTATTACGAGTGTATCTAAAAATGGTATTGTTTTGTTGTTTTCAATTTCGTGTGTAAATTGTAGGCGTGGGTGAAAGCTATTAAATGTATCTAATGTAGTTTGAACTTGATCTGTGGGAACTGCTGTCTTGTATAATTAGTTAGGTTTAGATATTCTGGTCTTAAAAGTCTTTGTATTGACCCAGCCTTTTGTTAAGTTGCTGCTCCTTAACTCTTAAGTATCTAACTTGAGTGGAAGTCTGTATCTCCTTGCTGTTGACGTACAGTAAACTATTTTTTTTTCAATGTAACTATATGCTAGGTACAGTTTTCCTTATTCATTTGGTTCTCTAATTTTTGAACCAGTTTTTTTAATAACATTCAGGTGAGGATATTGGAGGCTGATTAAATAGAATTGCGGTTTCACAGATGGCGTTGGGACGCACAAGAAAGTCTATAAATATGTATAAAGGATGGGGCTAAGAATGCTCCCTTGTGAGACGCCGTCTTGTATTCGTCATACCTGAGTAATTCGTCGCACTCAGAATCAGTGAGGTGATTTTTTTATTTATTTAGGGAAGTCGGTTTTGCTCAGCTTGTGAGCATAATCATGTTAAAAAAAATAATCCAAAACAGAGTGATGTTCCTTTCAAACTGAAAGTCAGTTAGGAAAACACCTTTATTAAATAAAAAAAAATCTACTGGAATAAAACCGTTTAAACTTCAACGATCCAAGATTAACTTGAAGTAAAAAGGAAGGACTAAGAATGCTCCCTTGTGAGACGCCGTCTTGTATTCGTCATATTTGAGTAATTCGTTGCACTCAGAATCAGTGAGGTGATTTTTTTATTTATTTAGGGAAGTCGCTGATGCTCAGCTTGTGAGCTTAATCATGTCAAAAAAAATCCAAAACGGAGTAATGTTCCTTCCAAACTGACAGTCAATCAGAAAAACGCCTTTATTAAATAAAAAAAATCTACTGGAATAAAACCGTTTGAATTTCAACGATCCAAGATTAAAAGGAAGGACTAAGAATGCTCCCTTGTGAGACGCCGTCTTTTATCCGTGACACCTGAGTGTTTGTTGCGCTCAGAAACAGTGGTTTAAGTATTTATGTTAACAACTCTGAAACCTCGTTGAATCCTGGAATGATGGGAACGGAAGCCGAATCGGTCTTTAGTGGATTTTGGACATCACAGATGAAGAGTGATGAGTCTGTAGGATTGAAGGTTTGTGACCTTTAGGGATGAGAAATACAGAATATTTCTATAATAGAAGAAGTTGAGTGGTACGAAGGATTTGTGTATTGTTTAAAATACCATGGTCTTATGAGGAAGGTTTCGAAGCATAGTTTAATTGGGTCATGTCTAGGGGGTGTTTTCTACTTGTAGATTTGTGTAAGTAGTACTTAGCTTCAGAAGGATGGAAAGGTTTGGGAGATGAGAAGGAAGTGGTATACCGGAGTTTTTTATGTGGTGCATCATTTATATCTGGATGAAAAATAATGAATTCTGTCATTTCTTTCAAGGCAGAATAAAAGGAAATTCTAAATTTTTAACTTTAATATTAATTAGCAAATAGAGTTCGTTATCACTAGTTGAATCTCGTTTTTGTTAACTTTCATACTCTTGCAGATCTTTTATATTACATTAAAGTTAGTGCATTTATCGATCTTTTTAATAATGCAGCCACGAGAGCATGCAGGTCGATAAAGCGTCTTGAAGGCTTTTTTCCCTGATTACTCGAGCACAAACAGACACATAAAATGCGATGTTTTTTATGTGAAGAGGGCTCTTTTTTCGATTAGAGAATCTCCAAGAAGGTGGTTGTCCCGCCATGATTCGCCTTTTTTCATCTTTCACTCGGAATGCCTTATCAAGTAGGAATTCCGTTCACACACACAATACTCTCGTCTTTCCGACAAATCAGTTTTATTATTACCATTTTCCTTCTCGATATTCTTTCACATAGTTCTTTTAAGTTCGGGGAGACTCTTTTATGCTTAACTTGTTATACATTTTCCAACATCACGTGGATTTTGTTTAAATATTCTAATTTTCATATCACATAGTTTTTTTTAAATCTTAAGATTTTATTATTCCAAAATTGTTATCATCCCTCCTTCAATTCGGTTGTGGAGTCTTAAGAAAGGCTCACCTTCAACGGTTTATTGCATTTTTATGGCCAACATTTTACTAGAAGCTCGTTACTATCATACCCCATATCTGTGGACTTCAAAAAGGTACAATTTGCCGTAAAGACGAGAATTATAAGCAATTGGAAAACTTATCGGTATTAAAATAGATAATTTTGAAAAAGGCAGATCAGGTTTTTTTATCAATTACCCTTTTATAATCTTAAATTAAACCTTTGGTAATGCATTAAAAAGAACTTATAACATTGTATGAAATATATGCACGCAAAGTAAAATTCCGGTATATTTGTGATTTGTTTTTTAAATGGTGATTCTTTCATACATTTTTGATAAGGATTTTTAACATGATTTATTAATATGTATGTACAGCGCTTTTTCCGTTGAATTAACCACTTTTCAAACTTATACAACATTTTTGTATTAAGATTTAAAACATTTAGGAGACGGTGTGAAACATGAGCTTACAAAGTAAAATTCTTGCGCATTTTTGAAGCTCTTTTTTAATATAAAATAATTGGGCTCTTAGACGACCATGGGAAAATTTATTACAATTAAAATGAAAAATGAAAAATAAAAGATTTTTCTTTTAACATGAGAAATGTGATAAATTATGGTTTTTAACAGCGCAATTATTTTATATTTAAAAAAATCTCAAATTAAAAGATAAAGAATTTGTTTTTATGTTTGATTTTCTGTTAGCACCAAATGAACCCTTTTTAATTGCAAATTAAACCTTTTTTTGACTTCAAATTTATGTATTTTAACATCAAATTTACTCTTTTTAACTTGACGTCCATTTTTTTATTTTAAGTATTAAAAACATTTAGGATAATGTTATTTAATATAAAAAACCTGGTCTTAGGAAAATTAATTACAATAAAAAAAGATTTTTCTTTTATTTAAGAAATTGTTGTTTTTAACAACCCAATATTTTA